CACCGCCTCCCGGCCGCTCCCCGGGCGTCACCGTCGCTCCGCGGCAGCCCCGGCCCGGCCCCGGCCCCGGCCCCGGCCCCGGCTCCAATCCCGTCTTGCAGAGCGGCGCCCACAGCTCCCAGGCCCAACTCTTCCCAGGCTGGGCGCCCCACGCGGAGGCTGGGTCCGAACCTGCGGCGCTGGACGGGGGAGCTCGACCGGGACTGCCCAGCCGGCCTCCCACTCCGTCTCCCTCGCCACAGCCACACCTCCGCTCGGCCTCCAGCAGAACCCGGGTGAAAGAGCCGGGCTGGCTTCCGGAGAAGACCACCGGCAACCAGCAGGAGTCAGATACCCGGCTCCCGGCACTGCCTGCCGCCCGGCCCGGCGCTCGCGCCTCAGGGACGCGTCACTTCCGGTTATGCGCACAAGCCCCGCCGCGGCCCCGCCGGAAGTCTCCGATGGGCTCTCTTCCTGGTCAGAGTTTGTTTCTGTCCAGCCACTAGGTTTGTGATCCGTACGCCCTTCGGACTGTACCTCCCACAGAGGCTTCCGCCTGTCTTTGCGCCCGAATTTTTTTTTTTTTTTTGAGTTGGAGTCTCACTCTGCAATGTGCTCCCGGCCACCGCAACCTCGACCTGCTGGGCTCCAGCGATCCTTCCGCCTCAGCCTTCCAAGTAGCTGGAACTACAGGCGCAGGCTACCACGCCCGGCTAATTTTTTTTTGATTTGTTGTAAAGATGAGGTCTCGTCAAGTTGCCCAGGCGGGTCTCGAACCCGCGGGCTCAGGCACTTCACTCACCTCGGCCTCCCAAAATGCTGGGATTACAGGCTGAGCCACCGAGCCCGGCCTGCGCCCGAATTTCTTATCCACAATGCTCTTTTGTTGCACAAAATATTTTTTCGCCGGAAGCCGGCGGCAGGCTTAGCCCTCTGACCCAGGAAGCAGTTTTCCGCGGAGCGTGCTGGGAACCGGTGAATTTGGCGCAGGCGCAGACCTGCTGGCACCGGTGTGATCCCTGTGCCTCGGCGTGCCCGGGTGCAGGGAACCTTTAATACAGAGACCTGCCAGTGTCCGTCCATATTGTCACAGCCCCTAGAGAAGGGCATGACCAGGGTGCAAGCGCTCCTGCACATTCCTAAAGAATGTTCTGAGAAGTAATAAAAGGTGCGCTTCCCCGTATCTCCTCTGCACTCCCAGTGATTAGCTTCTGGGGATCCTTGACTTCCCTGTAGTCTCCACCCAGTCAGCTGAAAGATGCAGATCCCCATTTACTCCCTTTTTCTGAATGGTTGTACGTTTGAATAATATAGTTTCAATGTAATCGCAAGCCTTGTGATTTGTGTAACTTTTGCATAATGCTTGATGTCTTAGGCCTTGTAAATTCCCTTTACTCTGGCACACGTGATGAACGCTTCTGCCAGGGCCTACTGATAAAAGTTAGCTCTAGGAAGTTTGGACCGAAAAATGTCACTGAAACTCAAGTTCTATACAATGCTCTGCTGGTCACGTGGCTCTCGTATAGGTACTAACAACTCCGGACTTTTAAAAGTGAACTTGTAAAAGCCTGGGAGGGGTGAGCAGAACCATTTTAGAAAGACCTAGAGTCTGGCTCTGCTCCCTGGATTCCAACTCAGAAATAAACTTCTTTCTACTAGTTCCCTGCCCCTTTGATTTATTGGTATCAAGGGGAGCAGCCGCGTGTCACTCAGACTGTAACACGCTGTCCTTCCCCGGGCTCCTACTCAGGGCCTCCTCAGCGGCCTTCACAGCCCTCTGGAGGCATACACAGTTTGAGAAGACGGAAGGAAATGAGGGCCCCCAATCTGAACAGGACAACCGTGAGTTGGTGGCCCAGAACCGAGGCAGGGCAGCTGGGGTAGCTCCGACACAGGTGAGGATTTTTTGCAGACAGGCATAGCTTAGGTCATTGGACTACACCACAGATAGACACCAGAGGCTGACCTAGGAATGTAACTTCTGAAACAGTGACCCAGCCCAGAATGCAGGGGCTGTGGAAACCATAAACAAGGCCAGAGGGGGATTACTGGACACACTGGAGCAGGGTGTTCCCACAGGCAACTGAAACTGTAAAACAATAACTTTTACCATTATTTCAACAATTTCACACAATGCACATAAGCTTAAAAGTCAGCTTAGCCGGGTGCAGTGGCTCACACCTGTAATCCTGGCACTTTGGGAGGTGGAGGTGAGAGGATTGCCTGAACCCACGGGTTCAAGACCAGTCTGGGCAGCTTGGTGAGACTTTATCTCTACAATAAATCAAAAAATAAGCCAGGCACAGGGGTACACACCTGTAGCTCCAGCTACTTGAAAAGCTGTGGTGGAAGGATCATGTGTCAAGACTGTGGTGGCAAAAAAAAAGAGATGCTCCTTCTTTGTCCTGCTTCTCAACTAGCATAAGCAATCACTGTTCTATCCTATTAATGGTTCTTTTTTTTTTTTTTTTTTTTGAGTAGGCATCCTCACTCTGTCCGTCATCCAAGCTGGAGTGCAGTGGCACTCTCGTGACCATCACAGCCTTGACCTGCTGGGTTCAGGCAATCCTTCCACCTCAGCCTTCCAAGTAGCTGGAGCTACAGGCGCATGCCACTACGCCCAGCTAATATTTTGATTCATTGTAGAGGTGAGCTCTCACCAAGTTGCCCAGGCTGGTCTCGAACCCATGGGCTCAGGCAATCCTCTCACCTCAGCCTCCCAAAGTGCTGGGATTATAGGCATGAGCCACCATGCCTAGCCTATTTTGGTTCTTGATGAGGGCTACAAATGCCTGTTTCAATAATTACTCCTTCTCTCGTGTCACCGCTCTCTGAACCCAAGCTTGCCATTTTCTCTTCTGAGTGAGGAGGAAGGCACAGCCTCAGCCCTCGACCTCGTGTGA